TTGAGAGGACGTGACTGAGTTGATCTGTGAGCTGGCCCCCGGCTATCGGAGGCTCCTAAACCCCTCCCCCATCCTTAGAATGTGCTTTCCACCTGCCTTCCCCACATTAGAAGCTGCCTTAAGGTTTCAGCCTTAAGAGAGTAAGGTGTTTTTGAGACCATCTGGATGACATACTTAACTGAACCCAGTGAAGGCCTCTATATAAAATTTTAAGATTCTGGCGGGTGAGTGAAGAGATCTACTTGTCTTACAGCCGTCCAAGACAAACTTTGTGCATTAAAAGTCCCTTTCCTCATTAAACCTGCCACCTACCAATCTGGGGTGGTCTGTCTCTTCCTTCAGTCTCTCCTTGCCCTCCATGTATGGGGGCCAGTTTGCAAACCAACAGAGGCGCTCAGGATTATCTGATATGTTCTCTTCTCTTCAATGCTGTCAATATCTAATCCATTGGAGGCAAAAGTATATTAAATGCATTTTGAACTCTTTCTTGCATACCAAATGGTAGTGAATAATTAATAATGTCTCTTGAACAATTAGTAATCAAGTAAGCTGCTGTTAAAATTTTCTTTTCCAGGAGAATTTTCTTTCAATAGTCAAAGGATTAGTGTAGCTCTACCCACTCCCTGGGTAGTTCAGATTAGTTCATTTAAAAGCCCGGGGGAGTATCTGGATCGTGCTTCCTTGCCTTCCCTCAGTTAGAAAGCTCTTCTTCCTCCATCTCCATCGTTGAAATCCTCTCTCTCTGTCAATATTTATATCCAATGACACCTCCCCTTAGTTCCTTCGTGTTCTAGATGTAATCTTTTTCCTTTGAGCCTCCTTGACACTTTGTATCCTCTTAATCGTACTTCCCTCACTCTTCTTTGCATTACAGTTACTGAATACTTTCTTTTTTCCTTGCTAAAAGATTATAAAATCTTTCAAGGTGAAATTATACAATAAAAAACGCAATCCTGTTATGCCTATTTTTCCTAGCCGAGTAATGCAGGTAAGAGGGACATGAATATTTGTTGAATTGACATTTTTTCTTGTAAGATTGGTCAATGATGATCTTCCCAGTAGGACAAGACTTCGGTGAGAGGATAGGTTTCCCTTTGTAAAGAAAGCCACTGGTACACTAGGCTCCAGGCTCTTGTTGACTCAGACCATGCCTGGCGAGGTGGGTGGATCTTTCAGCGCCTAATCTCAGATTCACCTCTTATTTCCAGACTGCAGTGCTGACTGTGAACTGTGTAGGGTTTAAACTGTCATGTGGTTTTATTTAAAGTTGACTGCAAATATAGTTCTGGGTTAAACTGGCCTGGAAGGTGGGGAATCTCCTAACTGCCTACATATGCAAGAGGAAAATTCTAGCTAAACAGAGGATCCATGCCAGGAAATCCATTTCCTTTTCCATCTGACCCTCTTGAACTTTCCCCTTCTGCCGTGCTGCCCCATCCCTCACCTCCACCCCATCTCACCACACCTTGAACTGTCATTCTCCTGATAACTGCTGAAAGTCACTGCCGTTTCTCCTTTCACTTCTCTGTGACTTAGCTCGGTGGGGCTGAAAAACTCAGGATCTGAAAAGTCTCAGGTTAGATTGAGGCTCCACCAACCTGCCAACAGACCTCCCAGAAGAAAAATAAATGCCAAGTCCCAAGCACAGGGTCAGCCTCCTACAGACTGCTGGCAAAGAGTAGACAACCACACACCAGGGCAGCTTTGCCATCTGAGAGCCATGAGGACAGCAGCAGGAAGCCTTCTACCCACCCAAGCAAGTAGAAGGAGCAGGGCCTGCCCAGTCATGGTCCCTGCCACAGAGCTGGCGGCTCTTGAGCTCAGGACCATAAAGCCCTTTAGGATTCAAACTCACTCCCAGAGGAAGCGACTGATACTGTTCTTTCAAATTGCCACCCACACAGGGAGATGATCATGCCATAAAGGCAAGGATTTCAAAGGAGCTGATTAGATCCTAACTAATCAGTTTCTATGGAGTGTGGGGAAAGACCCACCATGAATGTTTCAACTGGGCTTTGCAGGGGAGCAAACTGCAGGGGATAATGGCACCCCCTGGAATGGGTTGGGTCCCCTCCAAGTCCAATTATGCAATACTAAAAGCTGTAATGACATGACAGGGACATGGCTGTGTGTGAGAACTAAAGCTTTTACATGGGATCCCCAAGGGCCATTTCAGGCAATGCTGCTCTTGGTAAAGTCATTACTCTAACGATCACTTCAGCTTCTCTGCTACTTCCTCCATTCGGCACCCTCATCCACCTGTAGTTGCCAATGGCCTTACTCTTTCCCTCAGCCCCCAATCCCATAGAACCCAGTTCTCTCACTGTGTATTCACACTAAGGTATGAATGGCCCATAATGCCTCAAGACAGCATTTATCCAAGGCATTTTTAATTTTAATGGGAATCATTAAACTAGAGGTATAATTAAGCTCCAAAGTAAAATTTAAGACACTGAACTGAATGATATTGGATCTCTATAGTAAATTTAAACAAATTATAGAGAAAAGAGGAAAATACGTAATGGAAAAGTAACTGGTTAGGACTACTGATTCAATAGTTCTATTGATTAGCAGACTAATGTTGGATTTGAAGATGACTTCCAGGGTGTTTGTTACATCTGATATGTGAAAGGCAAGTGTCCTGGGCAAGTCCAGAGGTGGCCACGAGCCCTGGTGCTGCCATTTACTGGCTGGATAATCTCAGGCAGTTCACCAAACTATGAAAGGGAGACTATATGGAAGTACCCAAGAGTGTCTGTAATACAGTAGATGATCGATAAATGTTGTGGCTATTGATCCTTCTGAGCCCCCATTAAGTCAGCATTTACACTTCAGAGAAGCTTCAGAGTTAACCTTGATGTTGGATGCTGAGATCTGCCACAAAATCGAGAGTGTTTGAGAGCATGACTTACTGCTTATTACTTGAACTGTCCCCTCCCTTCTTCCCCCATTCCCAGCACAGTCATTGTGCAGTGCCTGGCACAGAATACAAACTCAGTAAATGTTTGTTGAACTCAGCCTTTGAACCAAACTTCTTAACTCACTCTCAAGAAACACTGTTTCTTCTCAAGAAGATAAGAATCATAGGAGCATCACCCACTGAGACTCCTGACAAGGAGAAGGGATGCTGGAAGCACTTCAGGCTTCCAGAGGGATCCCTGGGAAAGAGGAGAGGCCTAGAAAGGGCTAAGACCCCCAGGAGCGGGGAAGCCTGGTGGGCTTGGCTGGAAGAGGCTGTTTCTCACTCCTGCAAGGACCTGAATGGACTAGTTCATGGAATCAAAGAACGTCAAGCATAAATGATCTTAGAAAGCACTCAGAAATCAAGCTTAGGCCTGGACAGGATGTGTGGGTTGTTTAAAACTAGATAAATAGGGCCGGCCCCGTGGTCCAGAGGTTAAGTTTGCATGCTCTCTACGGCGGCCCGGGGTTTCGCTGGTTCAGATCCTGGGCACAGACATGGCACCGCTCATCAGGCCACGTTCAGGAGGCGTCCCACGTGCCACAACTAGAAGGACCCACGACTAAAATATACAACTATATACTGGGGGGATTTGGGGAGAAAAAGAAGGAAAAAAAAAGAAGATTGGCAACAGTTGCTAGCTCAGGTGCTAATCTTTAAAAAATAAATGAATAAAAATAAAATAAATAAATAAATAAAACTAGATAAATAACAAAAAGGCTGGGACCAGAGTATAAGACTTGACTCTTTATTCAGTGCTTTTTTCAAGACAACACTGGGGTTTGCAAAAATGTCTTATAAAGTGCATTTTTTCTTAGAAAGGCCTCCCAGCTCTGTGTTTGGAACAGGAGAGATGAAAGGGATAGGCCACTCCTGAGGGCACGGGGTGTAATGTTAATAGATAAGAGTCTTATTTCACATTGGCCTTCTCTATCAAGGAAATTGATCTTTAGCTTGATAAAAAGGACTGTCCAAATAGTTAATAGGTAATTAAGTTTTAAGATAGGTGAGACGATATAAGGAGAGTGACTAATCCATTTAATTGAATTGAAGCTCCCAGACCCTGAGAAATTCCATTTCAGAATAGTGAAAGAATATGCAGCTTTGTAACTCACTCACGGGGGAGAGTGTGTTAGCCACTTTCGAGGAAGGGTTAGCTAGCTGCCTGGGTCAACAGTTATTGCAAGACTAAAGGAGATTTCATGCCCAAGCTTCTCTGCATCCAGAATTCAGCCTCTTCTATTCCACCAGGTATCTCTGGTCCCTAAATGGTTAGTGAATTCCTTCATAGAATCAGGGTCTTGAATGATTACAAGAGACTAAAATGAAGCAGCCCAAACCAACAAGATGAAATTTAACAGAGCAAGTGGGAAATCCTTCATTCAGTATTATTTTCTAATCTGTACAAATACAAAACAGAGGCGATACAGAGTAAGAATAATTCACGTTCAAAAGGGTTAGGAATCTTGGTTGACTCCAAGCTCCTATCTTTGGGTGATAGAGCTGCCAAACTGCTGATGAAATCTTAGGACACATTAATAAAGGCAGAGTGTTCTGAATAAAAGGAGAGTAAGGCTATTGCACTTGGCAGTCAGACCTCATCTGCAGTGTTCTGTTCAGCTTGGGAGGTGTCCAGAGAAGGCTAAGAGAATACAAGATCTAGAAGCCATGTCATGTGACAGCTTAAAGGACTTGGGGATGTTCGTTTGGGGAACAGAGGCTGTTCAATTTCAGTGACTACAATATGAAGGAGACAGTCATTTTGCTGTGTCACTTTCCCAGACAGAACTAAGATTAACTACGAGATGAAGGCAAACTTTTATCTAATATAAGAGAAAGGAAACTCATGTTGGTCGAATATCCACCATGTGCTCTTTGTTGTGCTGTGTGCTTTATATTAATTTGTTAAAATCTTCCAGAAACTGATGGATTTGGGGGGCGTGGGGTGGGTGGTGGGAAGCTCCCAATCGCTGGAAGTCAGACGTTCAGCTCAGCTCTGCTCATTTAAAGCAGTGGTCACCCCTCTTCTGCTTCCTAGACTTAGGGGTGCCATCAGGCCCTTCTGGAGCCAGCTTCCTACTTGGAGGACACAGAAAAGACCACCGTGCTTCTGCAATGTGGATTCCCAGCACCACTTCAAGGTTCCAAATCCCCGCTGGACCACTAACTGTGAGTGAGGGGCTACCTAGTTCCTATTTCCCCAAGCTGACATTTCCTAGCCAGTCTTGAATATTGGGATGGGTCCATGTTTGCCTAGGATGTCTGAGGAAAGGACTGGGCAGTGGAGGAGAGCCTAGGAGTTCCATGAGCTTATGAGAGATTGTGTGACCGGAGATGGAAATAGATCTCTGTGAATCTATTTCTCCACCAGTTGCAGCCATTTGCTTTGCATATACCTGTAGTCTTAGAATGCCCCAAATTCTGAAACCCTCCAGCCTGAGGAATGCTTCTGCCAGTGAACAGTCTATCAGCGAGGGTCTCGGCGGGAAGCAGAATTCAACTCAGAGGATTCCAGTGAAGTGAGTTTAACAAAGGGACGATCACAGACATGTGAGCAGGGAATCAGCAGGGTAACCTCAGACTCACCAGGCACGCTCCAGCCTCAAGGCCGTGTACTTGCCATCCCCACCCCGTGCTACCCGCCCGTGGTATCCACGTGGCTCCTTCATCTCATTCAGGTCTTGGTTACAGCGCCACCTTCTCAAGCGGGCATTGTAAGTGCTGCTCCTCGACACTCCCTTCCTCCTCCCCCACCTAATTTTTTATATCACCTGATATTTCCATATTTATTTTTTATTTTCTGCCTCTACCCACTAGAATGTGGGCAGAGATTTTTGTCTGTTTTGTTCATTGCTATGATACCAGTGCCTAGAACACCGCCTGGCCCAAGGAAGAGGCTCAATAAAAATATTTGTTGAATGAATGAATGAATGACTACTAATTGGACTTATTAGAGCTCATAGAGAGACTTGTCCAGGAGTGACAATTGATCCATCTTTCTTGCTTCAACTTGCTGATCATGTCCCTGCCTTTTTGGGGAAAGCCTGCTGACACGCAAAGAGCTTTTGTTTGGCCACTAGAGGGCGGTGTTGATCAGTCTTTTCATTTTTTAGGAGTCGTGTTCTGAGACCATTCACCTTCTTTCCCCCAGACCCCAAAAGGAAGAGGTGAGACAGGCTCATGTCTGCAGCCAAAGCAAATGCACAGTGTATCTCTCCCACCCCAACAATGCTGTCCAAATGACATTCAGTTAAAACCTGTATCAAGAATGGTCTTGAAAGGAGCAAAGCTCTCCCCCATAGACACCATCAGCTGGGCAGATGACCTCATTATTTTGTGCCATATCCCTCTACCTCCCTTCCCTTTCCATCACCAATGCCCAGTTGGCTCTATTTGTAAAACAGTGAGCTCTCACAATACAGCGTCTAGTCTCATGGTTCCAGTTGTCACTGTCCAGAAGCCCTGGGAAAGAAAGAAAAACTCTTCAAGGAATCATTCCCTCTTTTACTAAGTATCTACTTTGTGTAGATGCTATGCTAGGGGCCAGGGAGGATGATACAGAATAAAGTGTCATAAGCACCGCCCTCCCCCCCCCCCCCCCCCCCCCCCCCCGCCTCCACTGCATACAGTAATGACACTACAGGTGGAAATGGGCAGGGCGGTAAGGGAAGCTGAGAGAAGGTAGAAGGGGCATTCCAAAGAAGGCAGTGGAGCTGTCTCAGGTCGGGAGAGATCAGAGGTGGCATTATGGGAGAGATGACATTTGACTTAGGATTTGAATGGTAGGTAGGTGCAAAATTGTGTTTGGCTACATCTAAAGCACTTCCTTTTTTTACACACTGCCTTTTATAGGGTGCTTGAATTGTAGGGTAATTTTCTTCTCAACTGAGGATAGTAACTATCTGTGTACATGAAAAAGGTCAGCTTTGCAGGACATCCCACTCCTGTAAGGCATAGCACAATATAAATAAAAGAGTTACGGTGGGGATAATGTGTTGTGAAAATACTAGATGGGAGCAAGACTTATATGCACCTAGTGGTTCCCCAACTGAATGCCCTTTGTGCCCACCCCACAGTGAGGGCAGAATCTAACAAATGAAGACGTGATTTTTTTTTAATTTTAATTTTTTTTAATATGGAACAGAAAATGGAAGTGCTGCAGAAGTTTTTATTATCTCAAGTACAGCTTTTCTCAAAGGCATGGGTTGGAAACCGTGAGTGCCTAGTGAGGCCCCAGGACTCACAGACCAAATTCACAGACCAACACATGCACTTTGGTCAAAAATATTTTTTATTTAAAAGAGAGACAATCCAGAGAGAAAGCAAGGGAAAAGAATGAAATGAAGAGGTCAGAGTAGCAGCTCTGAGTGAAGGCTCCCAATTCCTTGCTCGCCCATACCCCACAGGAGGCCACAGCCACACCCCCCTCTTCACTCGGTGTGGTCTGAAGCCCCCCAGGTCATCCTAGACTAGGGTGGTAGAACTTCTTCCACTTCTAGAGTGAGGAAGGGAAATAAGAGATTGCTGGGCCTCTTCAAGGTGTCCTTGCTCATTACCATGGGCAGAACGTCCGCAAGAAGGTCTGGGTTTATGTGCTGCAGGTGGAAAAGCACACAACCCAGCAGCCTAATGAAGATCATGACCATGAAGACAAGACTCTTGAAATGCCTGGAAACAGACAGTCATCGTTAGCATGGGGGAAAGAGACAGAATCCAGCAAGGAGAGGTGAACCTCACACTCATAAATGACTGTGAATTGCTTTCTTCAGGCAAAACTGATGGGGACATGGGGAATGGAGACACAAAGGGTGAGGTCAGGGGATCAGTGATAGAAGATTGATGTAGTGGTTAGGAATTGAATACAGCCCTCCTGACATGTAAGCCCTCCAGCAGAATAGATGTCCTTATAGAAAAGATTAAGGTGCAAAAGGAGAAGACTTTCTGGTTACTATATATGGAATGGCCTTTTGGAGGTTGTCAGAAAATGTCCAGGACCATCACACTTGTGAGTCTCATGACCAGTGGCCCTCTTCAGGTCCATTATAGACAAAAGTGCTGCAATTTGAAATAAGACTGGACCATCTCTGACATTAACATCCAGGCAAAATGATTATGATTGGTTTTATCTAAACATCAAGCACCAAAAGAGACCAACTCAAATAATAAAAAGTGGGTGTGTGGGTGTGTGTGTGTGTGTGTGCACGCACATGCGTGTGTTTTCTTGTGTCCACCCAAGAAAATTCCACCCTGAAAACTAGTCTGAGACCTTCAGTCTTCAACTATATTGAAATGTCATAAATCATAGCGTTTCATTAAAGTCCCACATGGAGCATTTCAGAATTAGTCTCCTTGCTTCAAAAATTAAAAAAAGGAAAATGCACAGGGAATTCACGATTTGTTTCTAAAATTTTCCGCAGTAGAAGACCTAAGAAAATTAATGCCCCTGAATCCTCTTCAGCAAAAAGCATAGCAGAAATTATCATGTTCAGGATGTGAAAAATAGGAAGGGGCCATACCAAGGAACCTAAGAATGGAAATTGAAAGTCTAATGCAACCTGCAGCCTTCATCTTGAACTTCTCAGTAATAGCCACTTTCTCCAACCACCAAGTCCTATGTAACTCTGGGGTGGAGAAAAGATGGAAGGAAGGGTTGGGAGAAATCTGGGGCTGCCTGACTTTTCTGGTTGGTGGATGTGCTTATTCATATTCCTTATGCCCTTATCAAGTCACTCACTTCTACAGAGTGAATGTGGCCTAAATCAGGGGGGAAAACTAAGATCCTAACACTTACCTGTACCAAGAGATTCTCTTCTGTTTCTTAGTGAAGGTCTTCTCCTGTGGGAGCAATAACCGTCACAGCTGTGCCTGCCCACGTGCTCACAGAGAGGCAGTATGGTAGGGTGGCTAAGAGCTTAGACCCAGGAGGCAGGCTGCCCTGGCTCTGTCATTTCCTCGCTGCCGTGATATGGTGCAAGGTACTGGACCTCATTATTTCCCAACTCTAGGGTTATTAAAGGAGCAGGGGAAGCAGGGAGCAGGGAGAGAGAAGCCAGGGGAGGAAAGGATAGAGGGAAACTCCAATTTAGGACAAGGAAGACATACCACGTTGCTTTGGATGGTCTCCACCGGAATTGACCCCGGCTTTCCTCTTGAGGAGGAGTTGTTCTGGGCTTTGACTCTAAGTGAAAAAGATCAGTTCCAAGAATTATGTAGCATAATCTGAGGGGTTGATGAAAGGTGCTCTTCTAAGTCACGCAACATCTATGATTTTTTCCTAGATTCTTGATAACATTCACAATGCTCAATATTTAAAATTTGTAACTGCTCAACGTGCAAAAAACCAGGAAAATGTGGTCCATTCTCAAGAGAAAGGATAATCAATGAAGGGTAACCCTGGCATAACCTTGATTTTGGATTCAAATTGCAAAAATTTGTCTCTTGGTGTCGGTTCAAATCTCAGTTCGGGTCTGAGATCCTCAATGGGGCTGCTCACAGACTGCCCTGAGCACACCCAGTTTGGAGGTCAGCCTGTAATTTGGGCAGAGTTTAGAAAAAAATTTGAGACTCTCCATCTCTGGCTTTCTGCTTTTTATCCAGTAGCTCTGACTACCCTGAACTCTGTCCTCTGTTTTTTAGCCCCAAAAGATGCAGGTTTTCTCCCGGTGTTTTAGCTGCCCCTTACATGCCAAGTTTAGTCTGCCTTCAGGTTAAAAGTGATACAAATGGGGAAATCACCCCTTCCTATTCCCTTCTTCCAATTGTCAACTCTCTCCTGACTGCTTTTATTCACTCTCCAGTGCCTTCTGATTGTTTGTTCATTTGTGTTGTTTTCTTGTCCAGAATTTAGAGCTATTTCCTGCCAGAGGTTCAGATCCAGTAAAAGCTTACTCAGCCTTTTCAAGGGAATATCTTTTTGTAATCATCAAATAGAGGAGGAAAGGGAGAAGTGGCCCAGACTCTTGGTTCTGGCCATGATAGAACAGCTTCTATCAGACTAGCCAAATTCTAAAAGCAACTGTAAAAACTGGACGCAATGCATAAAACAGCTGTTTGACTGCATTGAAGAATGCAGTCAGAAGCCGAGGGGACAGTGAGGGAAGTACAGCACACTGAAGTGAGCTCCTCTTTCATCCGGGCTTTTCCCCAAGGGCGTTTGCCAATTCGTGGTG